GAGTTGTTTTTTCCCCTTCTCTTATTACTGTTTTTCCTCAGATGTTTGGTAGTCCTGGGCTGTCTGCCAATGTTTAAGAATGAGGAACTAAAGGAAGGGAGGGTATAGCTCAGTGACAGAGTGCGTGCCTAGCATTCATGAGGTCCTGGGTTCAATCCTTAGTACTTCCATTAAAAATAAATAAATAAACCTAATAAATAAATAACCCCCCCCACCAAAAGAAAAATAACTAAGAACGAGGGACTAAAAACTCATTGGAAACTCTGGATGCCTGGATAAGGTTTGTTAGCTGTGCAGTTTACTGTAGGACAGTCCTGTCCAATAGAAATACGATGTGAGTTCTATGTGTAATTTCTGATTTTATAGTAGCCACAGAAAAAGACGAAAAGAAAAAAGTGAAAAGAAACATGTGAAGTTAATTTTAATAATATAATTTTTAATCCAGTATACTTAAAATATTATTTCAACTTGTAGCAGATATAACAACTATTAGCGTGATGTTTTACATTCTGTTTTTTATCTTAAGTTATTGAACTCCAGTTTTTATTTTACATCTATAGCACATCTCAATTCAGGTAATAAATTTTTATAAAAATACTTAATGTATATTTAGATGTCATAAAATTTACAAGTGAAAGGTAAATTCACATTCCTAACTTGCTCCAAACCTACTTATTTAATAATAACAATAAAACATTCATTTTAAAAATTAAATAAAATTAAAAATTCCTTCCTCATTTGCACTAGCCACATTAGAAGCACTGGGTAGTTACAGAGTAATTGCAGGTGGCTGGTAGCCCCCATGTTGGATGGCAGAGCTCTAGGGTGATCTACTTGGACTGTGTCAGTAGCTTAAGGTCATTTTCAATTCCCCAGAGAAGGCTCTTCCAGCCTTTTACCTCAAGGGTAAGGGCTTCGGGGTGCTGGGGTCCTGAGAAACTGGAAGAGGGAAAGTGCTGGTGTCTTAGCATGTAGTGCATGTAGATTAACTTCCTCTTCTTTTTGATAAAGGATTCCTGCCGACAGCTGTGCCTGGCATCCCCCAATCCAGATATCTGTGTTTTACCCTCTTCTAAGAATACATTTCCAGACTTCTGTTGGAGTAGGGGAGGGTGGTCTCCTGATGGCATAGGGGAAGGGTCTTGAGGGTAACCAGAGGGTCTATAGATCTTACTGCTTCTTAAACAGCTTTCAACCGGTCTTCTTGGTTTTTGCTCCCCTCCCCACCCCCACCCCCACCCCGCATTTCTCCATGTGCCTAGTGCTGCTGATTCTGGAGCCTTTTGAGGATCCTTAGGTACAATTTGCATTGGTTATTGGTTTTTCCTACTTCTGGTTTAGGACTCAGCTTTCATAGGTCTTTTGGGTTTTAAGTCCTGTTTATCTCCCAGCTTCAAAAGTTGGTTGTAATTATGGCTTTTCTTGTTCTCCATAAACTTGTAGGCTTCTTCCCATCATCATTCTTTTCTTTCTAAAAATTCATTTTCTGCAGATGTAGAAGAGTTCCAGGAAAGGGGAAAATTACATTCTTTGATTCAGTCTGCCATCTTCTACCTGGAAGTTCCTAATACTCTGTACTTATGAGCAGATTTTGATATACTTGTTAAAATTTTCATTCAATCTGCTTCCTCCAGTATCTGTACTTGTACTTAAAGGTTTTAGTGATAGTCTTAATGGAAAACTTAGTAGGAGAGACAGGCAGATGAAGTATTTACTGCAGAGAGACTCAGAGAATTAGGGTTTAGTTTGGCGGCAGGAAAAATTGATAGCAAACAAGGAGAATGTTGAGAATGGAAGCATTTAGAAGTAGGTAGGGTCATTAGAGACTGTGTAAAAGAGCTTGAACCTCTGAGGCGTAAGGCATAAATACAGCTCCAGTAGCGTTTACTGTCCTGGACTCCACTATTTTTGGTCCTTTTTACTTTTCATGAGCTAAGGCACCTCTTAACATACCACAGAGAATCCACAAAATAATGATACCATTAATGAAAAACTGAATGGAGCTTACACTTGTAAACTATATGCATAAGATTGGTAAGGAAACACACATAATATTTAATAAGTAAATTAATACACCCTCAGTGTACTGTAGCAGCAAGTTCCGTTTGAGTAACAGAATTGAGCTTGCTGTTTGGGTGTTCTGTTGGGTTCTGAAACAGAATTTTGCCTGTACTGTGATTCACTTTGCTGGCAGATGCTGCCCTCTGTTGGAGTAGTTGAGGAAATGCAGCTTTTATCCTGCATGGATCATTTTTGCTGTCCTTGCTCTAAGTGATCACTAAAACATGGATAATTTTTTTTAAGAATTAACATTAGAATCTGTTTCTAATGATGCACCAAGGAAAACAAGAGAAACTGTTTTTTTCCTTCTTAAGAAAATGTCTATTTACTTTTGTATTTAAAGGCAACAGTTAGTGGGCATTAAATGGGAACAAAACAGAAGAATTTGGGGAATGCAAAGATTTTGGGCTTGGAATCTGGAGACCAGATTTCCATACCCAGCTTGTCCCTGATCATGTGACCTCAGTGATTTATTCTACCTATCTAAGCTTCAGTTTCTTCATTGATGTAGTGAAGAGGTGGAATAGATTTGAAGACTTCTCCAGGGATCATTATTTGAGGAGAGCAGCCCTGGATTATGGTATTTATTCATAGGCGGTATAATGACTAAGTTTTAGGCTCTGCCCTGAAGGAACTTAGTCTGGAAAGGGGTAGAGGAGGCAGACAATCAAAAGACAGTTGGAGTCCATTACTGATGCTGTGAGACAGGCAGGCACCTATTTCTGCAGAAACACAAGGAGAAGTACCTGTGTAATTAGAGGTGGTACCACCCTGCAGGGCCTGTTGGAGCTAGCCTTGAAAGCACGGTCTAGGCTGAGGGAAGCAGCAGCCTAGAGAAAGTCTGGGGTGGTGAGATAGCACGATCAGTTTGTGGGCCTGCAACTAGTTCAGGATGCCCTGAAGATAGTTTGAGGTGGACGGTTTATTGAGAGATGGGTCGAGGGAAAGAAGCCCAAAGTGTCATAGGCCATGCTGAAGAACGGGGATTTTAACCTGAGTGCAGTAGGGATCTATTACAGTGTTTTGAATGGGAAATAACGTGGGCAGCTTGGCATTTTAGAAAGGTTACTCTTGGATATAGCATAGAGTATGGATTTGGTGTTGGGCAGATGGGACTGAAGGCAGGGAGCTCAGTTAGCAGGCTATTGGAATAAATCAAGCAGGAGATCATAGTGCTGTGCACGTTAGTAGTGGGGATGGACAGAAGAGAAATGAGTGTCTGTAGGTAGAAACAAAAGGTTTCTGGTTTCCTGTTCTTTAACTTAACCTGCAGCTGTGAACAATCCAGCTGGCACTGATTCATTAGACCCAGGTTCTGTTTCCTGTGGTATATTTATCCCAGTTGCTTGGTTTGGAGAAAACATTTTGAGTTTGGGGGCAAGGTTCTGGAGTACATACGTTGAATGTTGGCGATGGCATCCTAACTATACACACTTACCCTTTCTGTGGCTTGTTTGACCTCTGTCGGCCAGGTGACTTAGGGTGGAGACACAAGGAACTGTGAGTCCCTTGGGTGTTACTGTCTCTGCCTCATCTTCCTTCTGCTTTTGCTGCCCAGTGAGCAGCACACACAGAAGTAACTTTAGATCCCACTGACACAGAGCAAGGTTCCTACGGTTTTGGGTAAATGATTAGCATTCCATCAGCAGAAGCTTGACCTACTCTCGACCGTAGAGGGCAAAGTTAAGATTCACAGTTTACGCTGCATTTAACCTAACTCTAACATGGGGAACATGAATGTAATGACATAGATTTTTCTTGTCTGTAGAAAGATTAGTAAAGTAGCTTTGTGGCGGCATCAAAACTAATATTTCATTAGTTGAGGAAAGTTAGAGGCATTTACGATACTCATCTAAGGACATTAGCAAAAATAAACGAAGTTTAAAATTAAGTTTTAAAATGAAGAATTCTTGCTTTCCCACACTTGCTTGTTCAGACTTTTTTGGGGTAAAGTATAGCATATATGCAGAAGAGAATATAAAACATACAGAATAATTATAAATTGAACAACTATGTAACCATCATCCATATCAAGAAGTAGAATATTATTGTTAAGCACCCCATAAGCTCCCGCTCCCCTTCTGCAATCACAACTCTTCCACCCACCCCCCCAGTGACCACTGTTTGGACATTTGTGGTCATTATTCCTTTTATTAATTTCCTATATTACATAATTTAGTTTTGCATGTTTTTAAAATCAATGTAAATGAAATAATACATTCACTTTTATGTTTGTGAGTAGCAATAAATTCACTCACTTTCTCTGAGGAATTGTTTCCCACCGTACTAATAGTCCAGGATATCCATTCTGCTCTTGATGGCTGTTTGGGTTGTTCTCCGTTTTAGATATTGCAGCATTGCCGTGAACATTCTTGTTAAACACAGCCTGCTACATATATGCAAGTTTCTGAAGGGTAGATTTATAGAAATTGATGGGTTGAGTTGTAGTGTGCCTGCATATTTAGCTTTACTGGATGATGCCATACTGTTTTCCAAAGTGACCTTGGCAGTTCACGTTACCACCAACGCTGTGAGAGCCCCTGCTGCTCTGTGACTAGCCACATATGACAGTTTTTGCTGATCTTTAGAGTGTGAAATGATATCTCTGTGGTTTTAGTTTGCACTTCCTTGTTTAATGAAGTTGAGCACGTTTCGTAGGTTTATCAGTCATCAGATTTAGTCTTTTCAGTTCCCCGCCTTTTTTTCCCCCAAAAGAGTTATTATATATTAGTGACCTTAAAACTCCTCTTGCCCCTTACCTAAGGCAATGTGCTAAGGAGTAGTCTAGTAGAAATCTTCTAGTTTGTGTGAAGGAGCCTGGATTCTTTGAACTTATTTTCTCTTCTTTTTTTCCCCAACCCATCTGCTGTTTGGGAGGTTTCCTGACATTTCACTGATCTCTCTTCTCTTTCTTCTCCCTCCTTTTTCCTGTTTCCTAGACTCTGAAGCGGCTCATGGCAGATGAGGTAAGGAATTTTGTTCAGCATGTGCATGTTCTAGCTCATTTCCTACACCATGATATTTACCAGTTGCCATAACTTTGATTTTCTATAACTTGCAACCGTGATATGGGTTCTATTCTGAAGTCATCCCAAAGCTTTCTCCTAACTCTTTGCTCTGTTTGGCCCATTGCATGCACTGCCTTGGCATATTCGTTGGCTTCCACGGTTAGGCATGGTCTTTAAACTCCAAGCTGGCTTGCTGTCTGCATGCCACTCATATCATTTGAAGCAAGCCCCAGAATGCTTGCAGATGTTTACTGTTATTTTCAAACAGGTAATGCCAATAAGCTGCAGCTTATTAGTACCTCTTTCTGAACTGAACAT